AAATACACTAGGTGGACTAACAAATAAGTAGTTGCAACGAGACCAGGATGTTGAGTGCCCAGCAGGACCCAAAGGAACTTATGCGTACCTGGTAGTCAGTATTGAAATGAAATGAAACAATGTTGCTGTTTCACCTCATCTGCAATGTTTTCCCAGGCTTAGCCTTGTCCGAACTGGATTATGAATTTGCTAAATCTTTAATATAAAAAAAGAAAAGAGAGAGAGAGAAAACGGATCTCATAGAAAAGATTACTACAGCTCATATGTAATTTCCAATATATATGTTTTAGTGTGATGGATTAGTTTATGATTCCTTTCCTAGTCTACCACAATGGAAGAGGTCTCAGAGGGAGATTTCTGAAGATCTGGCAATCACTATGTAAAATAATAGATTCAATTGAAATATTATATTGGTTTGCACAGGGATTGCTTAAACGTTAAACCTCACATGCCTTTTTACAGTGACAAAGGAGCAAGGAAGCATTTTCTGTGTCATTTGAAATACCCACCCCAGGTTTCCTGGCCTACACAACAGGGGATTAGCCATTATACGGTCTACCTCCCACTTGTGTGAAAAGGAGTGTGGTAGACAGGCAGAATTCAGGTCAGGAGGTAGCTGGACATGGGAATATGGAAACTTTGTTGAAGACATTATTCATCCATAAACATATTACCAAAAAACGACACACATTTAAGGATTCTACTATGTTTTTGTTCTCTCCCAAAAATTAAAATGTAAGTTAAAAAAAGCGTTTATTGGATGGAAATAAAAAAAAAATTACACTCCATACATTTTCATGGACAAGGTCTGAAAGTCTGAGGAACAAAACTGGACTCTTTGTTGTGAGTCCAGGAAGTAAGTGTTTAGTCTGTGGGTATGTGCAAGAAAAGAATACATTGTGTGCCCGAGCATAAGTCAGCCATGTTTATCCCTGATAGTAATCATATTTACCAACATTCAAAGGCTATTAAATTTAAAGACATTTTTCAATTTACTTATGAATACACATATATTTATGCATTAGCTTGGTAATAGTTGGGTAATACTCTTGTATAATTTCAAAAGATGAGAAACATCAACATTCTGGGTTATGAAATATTATACTTTACCTGGTTCTTCTCCAAAGTACTTGGGTGTTTAATGACTACCGATACAGTTCTGTTCTGGAAAGGGAATTTTCCATACTATCTGCTCGATCAGGGCCACACCTCATTTTGGAATGCTTCCTCCGCCCTAATAAATTATATATGCCTGCATCCCGATAATTTATTTTCAGCATATAGATGTAGCAGCAAACATCAAACAAGCAATAAAAGCTTTAGTTTATGGGTGATATCTGGTTCTCAACATGATGCGAGATATATGCTCAGCATCTTTTTCAAGGGCAGTTTTAGCTGAATGCCTAGGCACTCTTTTATTTGTATTTTTTGGACTTGGAAGCGCACTAGCCTGGCCTTCTGCACTTCCAAGTATCCTGCAGATCTCCCTTACCTTTGGCCTAGCTATAGGTACTCTTGTGCAGATAATAGGGCAAATCAGTGGTGCTCACCTCAATCCAGCAGTCACCCTAGCATTTCTGGTGGGGTCACAAATCTCTATTCTCAAAGCTGTTATCTACATCCTAGCTCAGATGTTGGGAGCTGTTGCTGGAGCCGGGCTACTTTATGAGTTCACACCAGAAAATGTTCGAGGAAGTTTTGGTGTCAATGCGGTAAGTGTTTAATTTTTTTTTATTTTTTTTTAAAGAATAGGGGAGAGGGTTTGCAGTTTCCATTAGCTGCATTAAACAATGGCTTCTTTATTAGTAAAAATGTTCTCTATATAGTACTGGTGTATTTAAAAATAAACTGAAAAGTAGTAATATATTTTTAAACAGAATGAGTAATACAAAGATAAAAGATGTGGTCCATATTTTAAGACAATACTGTAGTTATGCTATAGGAAGCTGCTAAATTCCATAATAATAAGAAAATAATTGGTCTCCAAATGTAGCATTATGCCAAAGAATTGTTCCAGTGTTACCTTGATAAACATGAATGTAACAGTTACCAAACTGAGAATTGAAGATAATTTATAAAAGAATTGCAGATTTTAGGCCATATTGCAAAAGAAAAAAAAAATCAACTGGTCCAGCTGTTATTCTAGATCTGCTAAATTGGCATTATATCTATAATGTGTAGAAGTAAAAATAAATAGATGGTATGTTGACTATGGAGTCGCCAGTTAAAGAATTTTAATGATGAAAATTTAATGTTGTTTCCGGGTTTTAATCAAAATGAAATACTTTGATGTAGTGGTGGTCACTTAATGTATTAAAGTTCTAGTAACAAGCAAGGAATCAAGGAAAATGTGTTTAATGAAATATGTGTTCATTAGAACCACTAAGCTATTGATAGACATAACTGTAGACTGTGGAGGACAGGTAGGACTGAGCATGCCCATCCCTCCATCACTCTTTCATGAATTTCCTTCTGATTTTAGCTGAATGAGAACATCAGTCCTGGTCAAGCAGTTGCAGTTGAGATCTTTCTTACTATGCAACTGGTTCTATGTGTTTTCGGAACAACAGACAGTCGTCGAACAGACAGTACTGGAGCTCCAGCCATATCAATTGGTCTCTCAGTTAGTCTAGGACATCTGATTGGGGTATGTACATTAATATTTATCTGCTCATGACATAAGGTCTTTCTTATGCCCGAAGGGAGATTAGGCATATATCTAAATGTTGTCCTCATGTGCCTAGGGGTCCCAAGGTTCGTGGGGTATTACACTAATATGTTCCTTCCTAATCCCCTCACACAGTTAATAAACTTTATCCTGTGTACGTGGCCATCAGCATGGGAATGACATGAATCAATGTTGCTGTTCCTCTTCATCTGCAATTGTTGCCCTGGCAATGCCTTGTCTGAACTGCATCATGATGTAATTTGCTTAATCTTTAATATACATTTAAAAGAGAACTGATCTCATCAAAAAGGTTAATACAGCTCATTTTGTGATTTTCAATATTTTTCAGAATGGTGTATATTCTAGAGAAGTGACTTTAATCTTACAGCAAATTACAATAACTTTTACAATTATATTTTTGTGTCCCTCTTTACCGCAGTGCTCCCATCCATGATTTGACCCCATCCCCAAAGTAACGCCATCCATCCCATTCCCCACAAAGCACTTAATATCCTTTCCCACAATGGATTCCCATCATTACTCAATCCCCTTCCCACAATGTCCTAACAAAAATAAATCGGCTTCCCCCTCCATTTCTGAGCTGCGGACCCTTCCAGTCATTGGAAGAAACTGCAATGTTTACATTGCAAGGATAAATCTTCCTCTAGTGGCTGTCATAGAGGTGCTCCTGCTGCACTGACTGAGTAAAACATGCTGGGGGTGCCCCAATAAGAAAAGCCTTTCAAAAAATAAAAAGTATGAGGAACTGGAAAAAAACTACAGAAAAGATACATACAATTTCAAAGCATAATAGTACTCACTATGCAGCATAAAGCCACAGAACAAAAGGGAAAAAAAAGGCTGCGCAAGTAATTTTTTTTTATTTGTTCTGAGGAAATGCTTTTGTTAGAGAAAACTTGAACGCGTGCTGCGCATCAGTTCCCCTATGCTCCTCTGTGAGAAGCATTGGATTGGACATTGGTGGAGAAGGCCATGCCTCCTCTGTTACTTTGAGGGGGGATAAAAGCTAAGCAGTGCCAAAGGAGGCTCAGCGCTGTAAGAAAGTAAATAAAAAGTTTTATTTTATTATTTTATATGGTAAACAGGGAACTGTGTTCATTTAAATTGTAAAGCAAAATTTGAAACTTTATTAAAATGTATACAGTATACAGTTGCAAGAAAAAGTATGTGAACCCTTTGCAATGATATGGATTTCTGCACAAATTGGTCATAAAATGTGATCTGATCATCAACTAAGTCACAACAATAGACAATCACAGTCTGCTTAAACTAATAACACACAAAGAATGAAATGTTGCCATGTTTTTATTGAACACACAATGTAAACAACATGAGAATTTCAATAATGAAAGAGCACTTCAGAATGATGAGTGACACATTTTTTCCTAGTCAAAATATGATTAGTCATCACCATTTTGACCTAAAAAGCCAATTACATTCTATTGTTGTGACTTAGATGATGATCAGATTACATTTTATGACCAATTTGTGCAGAAATCCATTTCATTCCAAAGGGTTCACATACTTTTTCTTGCAACTGTATATAATGTATATATATGATGCCTTATATATATATATATATATATATATAACATACAGGGTTTCCTTGCACTCACGCTTGTAGACAGTTGTAAGCCGGGTGCTTGTAATCCAGGGAAAAATTGCATATGGTGAAGTAGTGATCAGCACTCTCGGACTTTTGTTGAGTTTAAAACTTACAGTTTATTGAAATTCCATTTAAAAGATCAACGTTTCAGTTCCTATCTGGAACTTTCATCAGGATCAAACATATATGTTTGATCCTGATGAAAGTTCCAGATAGGAACTGAAACGTTGATCTTTTAAATGGAATTTCAATAAACTGTAAGTTTTAAACTCAACAAAAGTCCGAGAGTGCTGATCACTACTTCACCATATATATATATATATGTAGAGATTGTAGCCGTATTAGTCCAGTGATGTAGATGTAAAAAACAGATAAAATTCTTATCTTGTAATACCTTTTTTATATATATATATATATATATATATATATATATATACATATACATATATACATACACACACACGTTTTTCAATTTGCTTGTGTTTCTAAAAAAAAAGAAATTCCCTGACCAGTCCTCAAATATTCATGTTTTAGTGAATAAACCTGGTGGTTTTGCAGTTGTATACATATTTAGATACATTTGTTCTCTTTGTTTAGATCTACTTCACCGGGTGCTCAATGAATCCTGCAAGGTCTTTTGGACCAGCAATGATCACAGGAATGTTCACCTACCACTGGGTAAGAATATTTAACAGAGAAACATGACGGAGTTAAACATTTGCCAATTCATCATGATTTGCTAAATTTCATTTATATGTCTCACATAGTGCATCCAAGGGTCCTGCCTTAATGCAGTTTAGTCACTTATGAAAGTGACAATGAAATGTGAAAATGAGAATTTCAATAATGAAAGAGCACTTCAGAATGATGAGTGACACATTTTTTCCTAGTCAAAATATGATTAGTCATCACCATTTTGACCTAAAAAGCCAATTACAGTTTTAAATTAACTAATTTGCTTACTATGGTTTTTACCTCCTGCCCCATAATGCATATTACTGCATTGGCTTCTATACAAATAACTTCAAAGAGCTTAAATCTAGCTTAGAATGTCTAATATATGCCTACTCCTATTCATGTGTCTGCCATGATTCACATGTATTTTCCAACTTCTACAAGATTTCAACCATATATTGAGGGCTGGATTTTGTGCTGGCAGATCCATAAACTCCCAATCTTAAAGTTCTCTTCAAGATCTCTTGGTCCTCATCTGCTGTGCCGATTTTTCCCAAAGATAATTGGGCCTGACAATGATGGTCTAACCAACCCCCACGGCCTTTGTTAGCTGGGAGTCCAAGAATTACCTAATTATACTGGCCTCTATAACTAATATATTGCAAAAATCTCTCACAATTAATATATCTCTCACTGTTTAGTTATAGGGTCTGCTAATTGATCTTGAAGCCTTTGTATTTTTATTTTTTTGGTCATGGTGCTTAGAGTGCTCTTTAAAGAGGGGCTATTTAAGAGGGTTATTTACTAATATGGGGTTCATCTTGAACCCCTGTCCTGGTTTATTTATGTTGTAAGTGAGTTGCGGTAGCAGGTACTTTGATAGCTAATAAACCTTTATGTCCTTGCTTGTAAATTAGGAAGGTGACCAATAGTTTTATAGAAGGTGACCAATAACTTTTATGATAAGTTATTTGTGGACTCAACACCTGACAATTTACATGCATGAAGTATTAACGAACCGCAACTCTCATTATAAAAATTAACATAAAAAAATATATATTTGGTGTTATATAGATACATGTGAAAAATTAAAAGAATCACATTTCTTTTTTATCAGTTAGTCCGCATTGTACAGTGGACTGTCATAGTTGCAGGAGCTGATATTCTGTACAATTTATGTTACCACGGATACAAATACTTTGCCTAGACTTTGATGACATTTAAATTGGACCTTACCTATTGCTTTCTAAAATTTACACCTCCACATAAACTGATGTCATTAAGACTTCCCACACACATTCCCTGCATGATGTTCAAACCAAAAGGACATCTGTCACCTCAAGTATTGAAATTATTTGTTTAAAAAAAAGAAAAAAAAAAAAGAAGTATAAGTAAAAGAAAGATAAGAGGAAAATAGCATTCTTACTTTTATGATATGGAAGGATCCTTCAGCCATATACATGTACCTTAGGTCAGACAGTGTTTAAAAACAGACAGTCTCGAATTTGAGTTCTTCTCAGATCATCAATTATTGTCCATTGTGAACTCTGATAAGAACCTTCACTAATATTTGCATCTCTCTCTATTGTGCTCTGCGAAAGGAATGTAACAATATTTATAAATAAGAATTCATTCTGGACCACATAATACATTTTTTTAAAAACATACATTCTCTATCCTTTTTTCATATACAGGTTTTCTGGGTGGGTCCGATGGCAGGCGCTATATTTGCCTCTCTTATCTATAACTATGTTATTTTCCCCGGAGATGCAAGTCCACTAGAAAGACTGGCTGTCCTGAAGGGTAACTATGAATATGACCCAGAGCATGAACGGGAAAGAGAAGAACATCGCAAGCAGTCTGTAGAATTAAATTCACTCCACACCTACCAAAAGAACATTGAAAAAGCATAACATACTCAAATCACTTGATAGGAACGGGAGTATTCGAAAGGGTCTGCAAGTCAAATGTTCAAACTAATGCCAACCCTAGAATCAACTACTGAAGTATTAACTTAAATACCTTGTGGTTGAGATAATTTCAACCAAATATCCTTGGGGGAAATGTGGTATTAATTAAAAATGTTCGCACCAGTACGCATTTATAAAAAGCTGCTAATGCCTCATTTACATCAGATGTGATTGGGGACCTTTACTAAGATTTGTACAGCTGTATAAATATGAAAAGTGTGTATGTGTGTTATTGTGTTAAAAAGGAACACATATGCAGTGTATCCAGATGAGCTAAGGTATAGGAGCCATGAAGTATTAATAAATAACTCAGGTCAGCGATCAATATGACGTAAGCTGTGATTGGCTTGGGAGTTTTTATTTATGACGATTGTTGCCAAATCTATTTTGATTTCTTGGAGACAAATAATTATTATGTAATTGCAACTAAAAGTAGTGCCCTGCAGATTGACCATTCATAGGTTGCAGGGGTGAGAGGAATTAATAAGTGATCGCACAGAATCGCCTTAAATAACTAACTTATTTTTCTCCTCCAACATAAGAATTCTACAAACTGATCTGGCAACCCTAATTACAGCTCCTTAGTACATCTCCTATATTGGGTGCTAAGATTGAGCCTAACTCCAGATAAACTGTACTACTGTATATAAAAAAATGTAATATACTGGGCCACATAAACACATTGCTTGTATGGTGTTCATTGATTTTATTGTCATGTTTTTTTACTAGGTAAACAAGGGTGTTGTTAGCTATTAAAATGTACAACCCTACACATAAAGACTCCACATATGAAGTTACTATTTGTCGAATCAACTTGAAAAAAAGTGTGTTTGACTAATCTTTATTAAGCTATCTCTATCTTTACACAAAGTTACACACCTATGAAGCAGTGTTCTGTCTAACCCTTGCACCACCACTTCTTTGTTTCTCCTAATGCCTGTTAGGAGAAACAAAGTGGGGGAGGAGGGAGGAGGGAAGTGGGGGAGGGAGAGCTTCTGCTATCCTCCAACTCAAGTCTTGGTAGATGAAGATACAGACATCCTGTTACCATTTTACTAGTGTAAGAATAAGAGTACAAAATGAGCTCTAAGGAAAATCCCATGGGTACTTCTAAATCTTACACAGTGTCTTGATTGAGGAGATACTTTGTTATCAACCATTAGTTGTGATAACTGATTGGAAAAAGTTAAACTTTGTAGCCCCTGCTTGGAGACAGCGCTTCACCACTAGTCTTCCTTTGTTTTAAATGCCCCTATTATTAAAGCCCTGGCTTTTTGTTCAATTCTCTCTGCAATGGAGGGGTTCTCTTGTATATTATCTTAATGGCTTTTTTAAAATTTCTTTAGTGACTCTTTTTTTCATCATATGAAGAATGTAAAAAAAAAACTTGTATAAATTATTTAACAATAAAATATTCACAATTAGCCAAGATTACACTTATTTGTGCAATTGTGTGATAATTTGTGTGTGTGTGTGAATGGGGCGGTGGCAATTTGTACATACTGATATTTAAGTTAATCCCTTATTAGGGAACAAGCATGAATAAAGGTGTAAAGAATATTTTTTTAAATAAATATGACATAGTGTGAATATTGTGCATGTAAGGAGGAGTCTATGAACTATTAACCTGTTAACGCTGTTACAGCGTGCTATGCCGTCCCGGCGTTAATGGGCTTAAACGCCTTTATGGCGGCATAGCACGCTGCGGCGTTTAAGCCCACCCACGTTTCCCCAATCCCTCCCAAACTGCAGATCACGGATTGGCCATGGTCACTGCGATCACTGTTACAATGTGTCAGCCAATGATTTTAAATCACTGGCTGACACATTGTCTCTGCCCCTCTCCTCACCTCACTTCGATCTGAGAGAGAGAGGCAGAGAGATCGTTGCTGGAGAGCCCTGTAGGAGAAAGAATTGTTAAAAATAAAGAAAAAGTTTTTTAAAAAGTAATTTTTTAACCCTTCCAGTGCTGGTCACAGCATTTAACAATGTGATCAGCCTGTTTAGGGATTTAAGTACATTTGTACTATTATTATTTTTATTTTTTTTAGGGTCAAAAAAATATTTTTTAATTTTTTTTGACCCTTTGTCAGCCGCAGCAACCCAAATCTCCCTTAACCTTTCCCCGCTGCCGTGATCACTGTACTGTACAGTATCGCTACTGTACAGCATCGTACCAGTGATCACTGTGATCAGAGGGCTCTCTGATCAGGCTGACTTTTAGGGGGGGTTATTTTTATTAAAAAAACAAACAATAAAATAAAAATTAACCCTTTCAGCACTGGTTGCAGCAGCCTAAACTGCGATCAGTACATTTATTTTAATTTTTGTGGGTTTTTGAGGGTGGGTAGTAGGGTGTTAGGCAGCTAGGAATTTTGTAATTTCCCCCTTTGATTTTTTTTATTTATTTTGAGTAGTCCCCCCTAGGATGGCACATCGCTACTCAGCCGAGGAGGCGTATGCCATTCTGGCAGGCAGTGATAGTGACACTCTGCAAGACAGTGACACTATCACTGCCTCTGACATTGAGGCAATGACTGACTCCTCTAGTGATGGTGCCCCACCACCACCAACAAGAGG